ACTTTACCACAGTGGGCAGCACAGGTCTGCTGTTCACCTGGGATGTGCCCTGGATGAGCCAAGCAGTGAATATGGGGAGGGCTCAGAGGTAGAACTGCAGAATCATGGAATGATTTTGGTTGGAAAAGACCCTTTAGGATCATCAGGTCCAACCATTACCCCAGTACTGCCAAGGCCACCACTAAACCATGTCCCTCAACACCACAGCTACATGGCTTTGAAAGCCCTTCAGGGATGGGGACTCCACCACTGCCCTAGGCAGCCTGGGCTGGTGTTTGACAGCCCTTTCCATGAAGAAATTGTTCCCAATATCCAATCTAAACCTCCCTTGGCACAACTTGAGGCTGTTTGCTCCTGTCCTACCACTTTTTTTGGAGAAGAGACCAATCCCCCAGGCTCCAACCTCCTCTCAGGCAGCTGCAGAGAGTGAGAAGGTCTCCCCTCCGCCTCCTTTTCTCCAGGCTGAACACCCCCAGTTCCCTCAGCCTCTCTTCATCCCACTTGTGCTCCAGTTCCTTCCCCAGCTCCACTGCCTTTCTCTGGACACACTCCAGCCCCTCAATGTCCTTCTTGTCATGAGGGACCCAAAACTGACCCCAGGATTTGAAGTGTGGCCTCACCAGTGCCCAGCACATGGGTATGATCCCTGCCCTGGTCCTGCTGGCCACACTAGTGCTGATACAAGCCAGGATGCTGGTGGCCTTCTTGGCCACCTGGGCACATGCTGGCTCATATTGAACAGGAGTGTGGGGGGAGCATGGGGAGGGGATGTGGTTGACTGACAGCCTGGTTTGGCAGAGGCAGGTAACGGGGACACTGGGCTCCTGGGGATGCCCAGACCTGGGGCTTGGTGTGGGGGGAGGATGGTGTCCAAGAGGTGTCATCTGTCTCTGCTCCTGCAGCTCCAGTCCAAGCTCCCCGAGTCCCTGCTGCACTTGGCCCAGTGTGTCCGGGAGCTGCTGCTGTTCCTGGTGCAGAGCTGCCTGCTGCTGCTGCTGGAGGGGGTGGCTGCCATGCTGGAGCAGGGCTGGCAGCACTGGGGGGATGCCTGTGGGTAAGTGTCCCCACCCCTGCTCTCCCTGTGCTCTGGCTCTGCCGGACTCTGCCATCACCCACCCCTTGCTTTTCCAGTGGAGAAGTGTCTCTGGGCTGTGTGGGAGAGCACCTGGCTGGCTTCACCTATTCCTCCTGGGTCTACCTGCAAAACACAACCATCACCATCACAAACTGGGCCCTGGCCATGATTTCTGGACACTGAGCTGGTTCTAGAGGAGTCTTCTGATGTTACAGCCCTGGGAGTATCTCTGGGGCAGCTGGTGTTGGCCTTGGGATGAAGATGCCGAGGGTGATGCCCACAGGGACGTTGGGCTGGGATCGGGGATCACAGGGGGAGGATTTTCCTGTCCTGGGGAACACACATCCTGGTTTTCCTCACCTTGTGAATGGGCTTTGCCTTTCCCTGTCCCCTCTCTAGGTCCCAACTGGCTGAGTGACCTCCCCTGACACCCCCTCTCCCATTCCCGGAGCTCCTGCCTCAATGAACCGGACTAAGTTTTGTTTTTCCCCTCCCTTTTCATTAGTGCATTTTTTTCACAAGAGGCGATGCCTGCAGAAGGGGAGGGCGGGGCCGGCCTGGAGCCACCCCCCACCCCTTCCCAGCCCACCCTAGGGGGCAAAAGCACCGCTTGCCTCAGTGCCCCCCCCGCAGTGGGGCTGCCCCCCCCTCGCCCCCAGGGCTCCAGATGGGGCCTCATCAGGGCACCAAGTTTCTTCCTCAGCATCGTCGGGTCCCGCCCCAGTCCAGCCACGCGCTGCGTGTGCATCCGTACCTACCCGTGTGCGTGTGCAGGTGTGTGCCGGTGCGCCTGCTGGGGGAGGTGTGCTTGTGCGTGCGCGTTGTGCGCACACGTGCCGTTATGCACGTGTATGTGTGCCGGTGCGTGCACACGCACGTGCCGTTATGCACACACACGTGCTGTTAGGCACGTACATGTGCCCTTATGTACATACATGTTCTGTTAAGCGCACACAAGCACTTGTCGTTACGCACACACACGCCGTTGTGCGCATGCATGTGCTGTTGTGCACGTGCATGTGTCGTTATGCACACGCGCCGTTGTGCACACGCGTATATGCCGTTACACACACACGTGCCTTTATGCACACACATTATGCACACGCACATGCGCCGTTGTGCACACGTGTGCTGTTATGCACACACACACGTGTGCTGTTGTGCACACACGTATGTGCCGTTATGCCGTTGGCGCACACACGTTACGCACGCACACACGCGCCGTCGTGCGCACACACGCGCGTGCCGGTGCGTGTGAACACGTAGGGGGGCGGGGCGGGGCGGTGAAGGAGGCGTGGCCCG